TACTCCTAACTAATTTATTCATTTTATAGTTTTTATTAATAGGATTAATTTTTGTAAAGTTTACTTAAACTTTAATATTAACTTTACAGTATATTTCTAGTACTTATAGTATATTTCTGCTTTGTCACTAAAGTTTTAATTCAGATAGACTAATAAAATTGTAATCTGTTTCTGATATACTAAGTTTACCTTAAAATATATTTTTTTTAATTTGATTTCAGTAACCTGATTGGTACTACTCTTACTTAGAAGTTCTTGCTTATCTAACTTTTTCATATTAGTATTTGTTTTTTAGATCTAATCTTTATAGTAATACTATTGAAAATTTGTGTTATTTCTTTATTCAAATCTTTTAAAATAGGTTTTTGTTTTTTTAATTTTATAAATTTATATAATCACAAGAATTTATCTTGAGTTGTATTATTTAATATTAGTTTGCATTCTTCTGTATAACTAAAATTACATAGATGCCTTATGGCCTATTAGTCATACTAATCTGATTATAATTACAAATATATTATCTCAATTGATTAACAGAAAATAATTGTTATAATATAGGTAATTGTTTAAATTTCTGCTATTAGTTGGTTTTAAACTTACAATCTGTTACTTGAAGATTGATAACTTATTCACTTTATTAAGTTATTACACTCTTTAAAATATTCTTAAAATAGTTGAATTTATTACAATAAAAACAAACAATAGATTAAAAAAATTTTTTATATTTTTTTATAATATTTAGTAAAATATTTTTTGTTTTAATATTCTAATATATTCAGTTTGGTCTTAAATAAACTCTTATTCTTGCATATAATTTTTATTTTGTTGTATACAATCTTAGTTTATTTTAATACTTTATACTTAAATATATAATTAAAATTATTAATAAAAATATAAGCAAGACCATATTTTAATACCAAAAAACATAATCTAAAATATAAACAATTTGAATTATACATATTATTTTTTTATAATGAAGTTTTTGGGTTAAAAAAAATTTTAACTATAATTTATAATAACAAATACTATGTCAGAATGAAATTATTGTAACATAGATCATAATAAAATTCTAAAATGTGTCTGAGTCATTAAAGAATTTCAATTCAACTTACAATAAAATTAAGTGAATTTCAAATTAATTCATCGAGTACTTTTTTTGGAATCTAAATCGTTTTAAAATAAGTTTATTCAACTAAATCATTACATCTATAATTAGTGAGATAAAAACTATTCTCACAGTATACATTTTTTTTATTTACAACAGATTTTTGCCACAAGAGTTTTGCATTTGTATTTAATATTATTTATATGTAAAGAGGATTGCATAGTAAACACTTCTTGAACACTTATGTACGTTGAAGATAAAAATATTCAAAATAGAAAATCATGTTTTATTAAGAACCTATTGCACTTTTTATACTGAACTATTGTGAAATTCAAATTTTGATTCGTTATATCCGGAGTTCGTAATAGGAAGGTTCAATATCGACTGTATCGTCAATAATTTCAATAATACCGGATTTGTAACAAGCTCTATATATCATTCTCCAAAACTTCAAGGGTTGCAAGAAGTGTCTTTGATCTTTGCACTTTTATTTGCTAGATCTTGTAAAACCTTAACACAAAAATCAAAAGTCTTCATGTGTTATAAAGGTTTTGGGTCGACTACTAATCGATTTACGACTAAGATATTCTTGTATTCGGAAAGCAATTCTTCGAATCCTTTATGAGGTAAAAATGGATGATCTTGAGACTCAGTTATCAGATAGAGTTTTGCAAAGAATGAAAACGAAAAAAAAACAATAATAAATTTGTATTTTATTTTGACAATTTATCATGACGATATGATATAATTTACTTAATTATGCATTTATTATAGAATCGAATTTTGTCGATTAGGTTGCTTTTAAATTTCGTATCAACTTGGGTTACATTTGGAATTCTGTTCCAATCTAAGCTGATTCTAAATCACAACAATTACAATAATTCCATTTCAATGTACGAGCTAAATTTTAATAATTCTGTTTTGTAAAATTCTTTACTATATTGAATTTTCACCATATCAGAAGTTCATTATAAAGAAAATAATATATTATATTTAAAAAAATTTATATGTAGTTATGTTTATAAAATATAGATTTTTTTTATTATATTATTTAATAAACAAACTTAAATGTTTTAAAACATGTTTTAAAACATAAGAAATAAAAATAATAATGAAGGCTTATACAAAGGAAAATTTTTAGTCAAAATTTTCGCAATAGACAGTCGTATGGTAGCTTTCGAAAGTTTGTAACTATTCTTTAAATCTAGATAAATTAGTAAAAAAAAAAAAAAAGTGTTTATTTTCACAATACAACAATGTTGTAAATTTTTGACCCGGTTGAACCGTTTTGCCCGGTTTACTATAACCCGGTTCTAAACTCTATCTCTTCCCTGTCTGGATTTAATAATTTAACTAGTTTAATAAATATAACACCCACAGAATCATAGTTAAGGCTTTTGAAAACATTGCTTAATTTGTCACCAAAAACTTCGTCTTTTAAGGCACGAACGTAATGACTACTAGAATCGAAGGATGATGGATAAAGATACTCGTATTTGCTTTTTATAGCGTATTTTTTAATAAGCTGTAAAGCATCCTTATCACCATAACAAACGTTTGGATTGGTTTTTATAAAATAATAGTAGTATTTTTCAAAGTCGAAATCCTTGGTTTCGGATTCGTATTCGAATGGTGTTTTCAATTGCATTTTTAATGCCGGTAAACTTTTAATGGTGATAATAACTGTGTGGCTAATAGTGTGGCTAGTGGATAATTGAATTCTAGTAGATAATTGAATTGAAAAATCAGATTATTTATACGGTTTTTTCATTAAGATTACTAAGGTTCTAGAAAAAATTGTGGCGTGTATCGTGTAACCTTAACGGATAAAAAATCCCAGAATTGCAACAATGTATTCGCTTAATAATGGAATTCCCATCTCTCGGCCTTCAGTGCTCATTAGATACCTGCAGGCAACTTGGTATTATATCCGTTCAAACTCCAATAATGCATCATGACACTATCTATTCTATTATCTATAATATTTATGTCTTATTCAATAATAATTACCGTCAAATAGACTTTTTGTCTTTTTATTGCGGCTGCTGTGGTTTAAAGTTTTGGTATGTTGCTCGTTTTTCTTGTCTAAAATGATAATAAATAAGTTTCAAACTTTATTGCCTTAAAAAAAGTTTGGATCACAGATACCCACCTTCGCACAACTGTTTACGTTGGACGGAAAACAAACGTGTAAGAGTTTTTCTTTATTTTTTTTGAAAAGGTTTTTTCGCAATTAAATATTTTTATACCAAGAGATAGTTTTGGAAGAGGGGTTTTTATTTAAAAAAAAGGGATCTTCACTTTATATATGATCACTTAAATGATCACTAATAATTTATCGTTATAATTTTTATTTTTAACTTTTTTTATCACTGATAAGAACATCCAATTGTGTTCAGTATGTTCTTCTATGATCTTGGTACCACAGAATGAAAAAGAAGATAAAATTGTATAATTATTTATTTCATTTTTTTAATTTAGCGGGTAAAATATTCACATATTTGACTAGTCTGATATGTTACTTATTATCTTAAATTTCTAGAAATATATCAATAATCACCTTGTTGGCCAATAATGTGAATGTTTTTCTGCTGATTAATATTTTTTTTCTTTTTAATAATTGCATATCAAAAATACTTATTTAAAATAATTAAATAGTTAGAGGAACATAAACAATCAAATTGTACGTTACATCTGTTATCTTCAATACCATCTACAACGCAAAAAAAATGCAACCTCAAGCTATGTAACAATAAATCATCCGAAGGAGGTGTGATGATATATGTAGTCTGCGATGGATGTGGAGATATGTTTTGCTTGAAGTAAGATCATAGACTTATTATAAGGAATTGATTTATTTAACCAATAATGTATAGTGAATTATTATTATTTTTTAAGACACCGGCATCCACCAACACATCAATGTGCTTCACTAAACATTGCATCAGAAAACAAAGCAAAAAGACGGGAGATGGCTGAAGAATTAATTGCTAAATATTTCAAGAAAACTAATGATGACATCAAGGATCATATGTCAACTTCGGCTACCTCGTCAAAATCACAAACTTCATTTACTGCGAAGCCAAAAAAAAAAGGAAACATGGTCGAAATTATGAAATTAAAATCTAAAGCCCGGGTATTTGACACATGCAAAGTTTGTCCATTTTTAATCGGTTAAGTGGTTGATTTTGAAATTTATACGTCACTAGGGTGATTCATCAATTCCTGCAGATTCAAGATTATTTCTTAATGCCGAAATTTTAGATAATTCAAATGTTGTTAGCAAACCAATGTTCTTTAATAAGGTAATGGATTTTGGATGATGTTTATGGAATTAATTTTTTTGATCCTGTTTAATAAATTCTTGATTTTATTAACACAGAATTGGACGATTGGTAAAGTACTTGATAAAGTTGCAATAGAAGGAAAATTTCAGAATGTTAATAATCGGGTTACAGCCGATGATCCTGATGTAATTTTTTTTTAATGATGTAATAACAATAATTTTTCTTAATTAATTAATTAATATTTATATTGTATATATTTAGAGACTGGTCTTATTAATCGCAGAAACGGGAGATGTTTTAAATGCGGGACAAAAGGCATGTGAATTGTTAGAAAATGGTGATACTATTAGGTTAGAAAGATTGAAAAACATCAAGTCGGATTAAATCAAACTATAAATTTAATAAATAAATTGAAATCACAATATGCCTTGCGTGAAAATATCACAATTTATTGATTATCAGCCTTCACGAGGGGGTTGATTATTGAAATGCATCTAATTACATAAAACAATGAGGTTCTGAAACTATGACGAAATTATGACACGTTAATCAATTACAAAAATACGAATTATTTTATCAGAACTTTCGAAGCTATTCTATTTAGAAAACATGCCGAAAAGATCTTTATGATTGCGGTTTTTAATTTGCAAACTAGAAATCATATCCGAACAGAAATTGTCATATGGCTATAATAAGTTACCCAAATAACACGAGTAATAATTAAATAATACCCGGTTAGGAATTTTCTCGGCGAGTATGGCCTCTTGCAAGCCTAACCCTTTTCTTTCAATTATTTACATAAATTCTGTGAAACGGAAATATGGAAATAATTGACCGACGAATCAATAAATTAGCTGATATCGGTAATTAATTGATTCGACTGAATAGTCATCGGTTATTTTTTTTTGTACCAGGATATATTTAACGGACATAGCTGTAAACATTTCACACAAGCCACAATTCATATCGGAGCACGGCGTTTCTAAAAGGAATTGATTTTATCCGTTTACTATGACTGATTTGAAATTTTTCCAATTTAAATATATCTATAATTAGTATTTGTTTATGCACTAATTTTTTATAACATGGAATGGAAAATTCCATGGAAAATTATGTTGTGTAATTGTTATCCGATTAGAGATTAGTCGTTAGTCAACTTAGCCGGTTAAGTGGCCGACTTATTTGAAAAATCGGCTTAGTCGAAAGTGCCCTTGAATTGGAATGATCCAATTCAATAATTACTAATGGAATATTCCAATTGAAAACAATCACCCAATGAAATTTAGCTTTTTATGCACGTGATATACAGTGGTGATTATAAGTAATGGAGCAAAAAAAAAATTTAGTTAGATCACGTTATTTTGTGCAATTGTAAACGTATCCTTTTTTTTAATTTACTTATGAATACGATTTTATATATAAAAAAAATTTAAAAAAATTCAATGGACAAATTTTTCGTGAACACGAACTTTATTTCAATTAAAGTGTTGCATCACTTTTGATCATATTTAATACAATACGTATTAAACCAAAAGTTTTTTTTACACAAAAAAAATTTTTCTATTCTAGTGCCTTTTGATTTCTACCACTTAGTGTATCTATCATGTGTTTTGATAACATTATGAATTCATACAAACGTAAATTTTAATCAGATTGGTGCAAGTCAATGTTAATTTGTTGTTAAACTACTTAGATCTTGTTTCAGAGATCTTTTTTATTTAAAATTTGATTTCTAAATTAGTAATTAATTTTAATTTACAGATGCTTGATGGAGTTGAGGTTAGAAGACTAAGGTAATCAATCTAACAATTAAATATAATTATTTTTTAATTAATATTTTGTTAATCTTGTTATATATTTGAAATAATTGTTTTGTTAAAAAATAATTTTATAAATATTAAACTTATAATCTTTGATAGTTTTTATTAAATTTTTATAAAGTATTTGATAATATAATTTAACATTTATATAGTTTAGTAATCTTACAAAAATCATCAATATTATAAGACTTAAAATAATCTTAAATTATAATTACATTATTTTTGTATTTTATTGTTAGTTTATTTTTATTTTTTATTTTTTTTTTATTTGAGTAATTTTGCTAGTTACTTTTATTATAATTCTTATACACATATATACAAATTTATATAAATTTTAATTTAGCATTTTGTGAATATTTCTAAGAGTTTTATAAGTGATCTGTTTGTATTAATTGTTTAATTTTATAAGAAATTAGATTATGTTAAAAGTTATATTTGATCATTGTTTTACAATAAGATGTTATTAATTTGATGATATTTTTTTATAAAAAAGTAAACAAAAACAAAAAAAACTTAGATATAAAAAAACACAGAAGTATAAGAATAAACAATAAAAGATATAACAAAAAAAATAAAAAAAAATAAAAAAAAAAAAGATATATGTAATTTTTATTACATAACTATTAGATGATTACAACTATGAGTTTTGTTAAGTTTTTTTTTTCCTTAAGCAGTCATACTAGTACTTTATTAAAATTTTGAAATTATATTTGCAATTATATAAATATCCTTAACAGCTAAGTCTAGCATCACTTGGTCATCCTAATAGTACCTAGGTGCAACCTGCTGCATTACTTTAAGCAGAAGTAAGCTACTCATCTGACTACTTAAAGTTTATAATAAAAGAGTTTTTTCTCTTCTATGACAAGCTCTAGAATTGTCTTCTGTACTTCATTTCTGATTTTTTCTTTTTCTTTCACTTTCACTTTTCTTTCTTCTATTATTTACTGATTTGGTTTTCTTTTTTTTCCTAGTGCTTTTCTTTCTTTCTTTCTTCTTCTTTTTGTCCTATCTGTTATTCTTTCTTTTTTTTCCCATTTATTAATTTTCTTACAATGAATTCTTTATACTTGTTTGTAAAATATGATCTAGGCTGTTCTTCTATTATGGTTATAAACTTTTGTTTTGATTTTGTACTTAGGAGCTGTCTCAATCTGTCTTGTATTTCTTTTAGAATAAGATATTTGATTAGTGTCTCTCTTATTTTAAATTCCTCTATTTCTGTTTTCTCAAAAAAGTATTGTGTATAATATATATAGAGGGATCCAAACTTTTTTCTTTTCATTTAGTCCTTTATAGACTGTTGCAATTGTCATTTTTTGGATTCTTTTTCAAAGATTTCTTTGTTCTTTATATGCTGCCAAATGTGATTATGTTTCTTTTATTTTGTTTTAATACATTTGTACTTTATTGTTGTATATATATTTGGTCTTTTCTTGTTAAGCTCTTCTAATGTTGAAAACTTCTATATTATATACTTTATAAATACACTTCTTCTGATACTACTTTTTCTCATTGTACAATGTACTCCTTTAGTTGTCTTTAGTCTTCTTCAAAAATATGTCCAATCATGAACCATAACTTTTGTTTTTGGTTCTAATTTCTAATTACTTTCATTTTCTTTTATTCTGCTCCTAATTTTGTATTTGTTATTAATTTACAAAGCAATCTTGTTGGTATATCAGTATGTTTGTTTTTCCATTCTAAGCAGTACTCTATCTCTTTGTAACTAACTTTTTCAGTCTGTATTGTTCTTTTACTTATTGCACTTTTTTTTGCTAGACTATCTACTTTATTATTCTATTTATCTTTACTATAACTTTTAACCTTAAAAAACTCTATCTGAATGTTTTTTGTTATAATAAGATCTTTAATTTTTATTGTCTATATTGCTTTTTTTTTTCTTGAGAATCTTATTTTTATCTACTTGTTCTAATCTTCTGCTGATGTTTTTTATTATAGCATTGCTATCTGTATATATTTATATTTGTTTTTCTTTTGGTATTATTAGAATTGCTGCCTATATTATTACTAATTCTACTATTGTCAATGTTTGTCATCCTTCTAGTTCTATTGCTAACTTCTCTTCTGGCCATTCTTATGTTTCATCAATTTGTATCTATTCTATATCTATACTACTTTACTTCTTAAATCTTTTTTAGTCTTTATGTTTGCTGTTCTGTCTGTATATATTGTAAACTTGTTTTGTTTTTTATTATATTTCTTTTTAAGACTTTTATCATTTCTTGATTAATATTTTTTTTTAAATTTTGTTATTTGATTATTTCTACTTCTAGTTCTTCTATTGTTCTTAGCTCTTTGAGCTTCTGTTCTCCTATTTCTAATTTATTTATCTTTGTTGCTTTTATTATTTGATTTATTGCTATTTTAATCTTGTTGCTATCTTTTTTTATTAATACATTTGAGATCATATTTATTTTGTTGTTTATTCTTATCCACTGCTGACAACTATCTTCTAAATGTTCATCATTTTTTATATAACTCTTATATTTATTAATTTCAACAACTAGTTTATTTTCTTTACTTTATATTTGTAATGTTTTATTAGTATTTTTTTTCTTTTCTTTTTAACTATTTTTTCTAACTATTAATGATTCTGTACATTATATGTTATCTATTTTTTTCTTCTTTTATCTTCTAAAACATATTTTAATCTTATTTGCATTGCTTGGGTATTTCATCTATTTGTTCTAAAACATTTTTTTACCTCTCTACTTTCTGATCTGCTAAGTACTTCTAGTTCAATTGCTTTGAACTATTCTGCTTTTTCTCTTTACATGATAGGTCTTGGTAACTTTTTAGCTTTTACTATATGATTAGTCTTATTTCTTTTGTATCAAACAACTGATTTAGGTATATTAAGCCTGTTTTGTTTATTTTAGTTCTGTCTTTTTTCTATAATCATATATTTATAAGTTCTTTTATTTTAGTTTTATATCCCAGTATTGTTCATAAATTACTTTTTGTTTTTATATTTATACTAAGCCTTCTTGCTTTTAGCAATATTAAATAAGCTAAGTTATTTTTTCAACCTTCTATATTTTCTAGTAACTCTTCTATTTTTTATATATCTTCTGTAAGACCTGCTCTTTAGCAACCTTACATTATTCTTAATTTTGTTAACTGTCCAAGACTATCTTGTCTGTTTAGTCTTGCTAGTAGGCCACTTATTTGTTTTATTGCCAATTCTTGTCATAATGTTCTGCAATTTCTAAAATCCTTATGTTCTATTATGCAGTTTTCTAATATTCTTTGCAGGTTGCTTTTTTGTTTTACTAAACTTATTATTAGGTTTTGTTAAGTTTTTAAAAATTATAAGTTATACTAAATAAAATTAACTCTACTATTTTTATATTTACTTAGAATATTTAACAAAAACTATATAAAATAAATTTTAACTTAAATGTAGAAAGTTAGCATAAGATACTGATTAGTCTAAAAGTAGTATTTTATGAGATTTTAGCAATTTAAAATATATATATATAAGTTGTGTTTATATTACTATTTGTTTTTACAATTCTGATTAGAAAATAAATACTGCTAATTGTTTTGATAATTTTACATATTGATTTTTTAAAAAAGATAAGCTAAATTATTTACTTTTTACAAAATTTTCTTGAGAAAAAAAGGTTTATATAAACTAAACTTTTAGTTTTTATAATTTTTTTACTCTTATAAATGTTCTTTATAGGTTTTACAATTATATAAAAATAATATATCTAACTCTATTATTTACTTTATAAAAAACTTCTGCCTTTTATTAATTATTTTTTTTTATAATTTTAAAGTACTTTTAAACTAATATTACAAAGCAATAACTTTTTTTTTAATTCTATTTTAATATTTACTATATATGCCTAATGCTTTAAAAGAGTTATTATAAAGTTTAATAAATTAGTTATAATGTTTTTTTATAGTTTAACTTTTAAAAAGTTTGGTTTAAATAATTATTAGAAAGAGTTTGATTGTTAGTTTATTATAGAAGTTATTTAAAGATTTATTTAAATATTTTAATAATTTTATTTGTTATTAGATTTAAAAATCTTAAATTTTAATTTATTAGACAAATTACTTTGGTTCAATTTTTATAAATTTTATTTTATTTTTTTATTAAGACTAATATTTATAGTAGCTACTGCCTTTATTTATATTTTAGTTAATATATTATATATAATTTGTATAAAATAAATATATAACTAGTTATATATTCAACTTTTAATTATTTATTTAAATAGATTATTTACAAATTTTATATTAGCTGCTATATTTGTTGTTATAGAGTTATAATCTTCTTAGTATAATTCAACCAAG